CTAGCTCTAATCGCCGTGCTCGAAACCTCTTCCATCGCGATATCCTCCTGGCCCATCATGGAAGCCATCAAGTCCGCTCTCAACATTGGCTCCAGCAAGCCTGCCGCTACCGAGCCCTCTGCCGAGCAGCTTACCCAGCTCAAGGAGAAGTACACCAAAGCTGGACAAGACCACGTCTTCACCTTTTACGATGACCTTCCTGCCTCTGAGAAGGCAACTCTTTTCGAGCAATTGTCTGGCTTCGATCCCGAGCACATCAACAAGATCACCGACCGCGCTCTGAACCCTCCCAAGACCGAAGAAGATGCATCCACCCAATCCGGCCTCGAGCCGTTGCCCGAGTCTGCCACCGCCAGTATCCTCGATTCTAAGACCGAAGACATTGAGAAGTGGTATCAGTCGGGTCTCGAACTGATTGGACAGAACAAGGTGGCCGTTGTGCTGATGGCAGGCGGTCAGGGCACCAGACTGGGCAGCTCAGCACCCAAGGGCTGCTACGATATTGGCCTTCCCAGCCAAAAGTCACTCTTCCAGATCCAGGCAGAGCGTATTCGTAAGGTCCAGGAGCTTGCCGCCAAAAAGGCCGGCACCAGCAGCGCCGTCGTGCCGTGGTACGTCATGACCTCCGGCCCCACTCGCGGCCCCACGGAGAAGTACTTCCAGGAGAACAATTACTTTGGCCTTGACAAGGCCAACGTCTTCATCTTTGAGCAGGGTGTCTTGCCTTGCATCTCGAACGAGGGCAAGATTTTGCTCGAGTCTAAGGGAAAGGTTGCCGTTGCCCCTGATGGCAACGGAGGTATCTACCAGGCGCTGGTTGTGTCAGACGTCATGGGCGATATGCGCAAGAGGGGTATTGAGCACATCCACGCCTACTGTGTCGATAACTGCCTGGTAAAGGTCGCCGACCCCGTCTTCATTGGTTTCTCGGCATCCAAGGATGTCGACATCACCACCAAGGTGGTGCGTAAGCGCAATGCCACCGAGTCTGTTGGTTTGATTCTGCTCAAGAATGGCAAGCCCGACGTTGTCGAATATTCCGAGATTGACAAGGAGACGGCCGAAGCCCAGGACACTAAGCAGCCCGGAGTCCTCAAGTTCCGCGCTGCCAACATTGTCAACCACTACTACTCTTTCCGCTTCCTCGAGAGCATCCCTCAGTGGGCGCACAAGCTTCCCCACCACATTGCGCGCAAGAAGATTCCCTACGCCGACCTCAAGTCCGGCGAGATTGTCAAGCCCGAGAAGCCCAACGGTATCAAGCTGGAGCAGTTCGTCTTTGACGTCTTCCCCATGCTGGACCTCAGCAAGTTCGCCTCCATGGAGGTGAAGCGCGAGGACGAGTTCTCGCCGCTAAAGAATGCCCGCGGCACGGGAGAGGATGACCCCGATACCAGCAAGCGCGACATCATGCTTCAGGGCAAGCGCTGGCTCGAGGCCGCCGGTGCTGTTGTGACCGGCGCGAGCGAGGAGGATGGCGTCGAGATATCCCCTCTCTTCAGCTACGTAAGTCGTCACTTTCTTGACATGGTGTATGCAAAAACTAATATTCACGGTTCATAGGGCGGCGAGGGTCTGGAGAAGCTCAACGGCAAGGAAGTCAAGGCTCCTGCCGTGTTGGAGATGGAGTGAATATGTAGAGCGTAATGACATGGGATGATAGGCGTTTACGACCGAACTGCGGGTTTTAATAAACTATCCGGGTTAATAAGCTAAAGGCTGCACAATGAACTGTGCTGCTTCGAATTCTGGAGCATATATAAAAGTATTGATTCGTTGCCAAGCTAGAACTGGAATGAGTGAAGAATGTTCTTGTGCCTCAGCAACCCGAGGGTCTGGAGAAGCTCAACGGCAAGGAAGTCAAGGCTCCTGCCGTGTTGGAGATGGAGTGAATATGTAGAGCGTAATGACATGGGATGATAGGCGTTTACGACCGAACCGCGGGTTTTGATAAACTATCCGGGTTAATAAGCCAAAGGCTGCATAATGAACTGTGCTGCTTCGAATTCTGGAGCATATATAAAAGTATTGATTCGTTGCCAAGCTAGAACTGGAATGAGTGAAGAATGTTCTTGTGCCTCAGCAACCAACTATTCTTCTCATACCATCGTAGCACGCATGGTTGCTGGTTCCATTCCCCTTACATTGATGATTCTTAGGTTCTGCTTGCTATTACCAGGGAATACATCTCCAGGGCAGCCAATCGAATGAAATGCAGATGGGAGGCGTAATAAAAAAGGGAAAGAATGCAGGGCGGGAAGATTACCTTACCTTGCACCGTTGCCAAGCATTCCGAATCCAGATCTTAGGGGCATCTGGAAATTCCTTAGACTCACCTCAAGGTTTGGGTATGCCTGCCAAGGCCTGACATTGGGTGGCATGCAAAGACTTGCACACTGTGCCCGAGTTCCAGAGAATAGGACTTTTGGCTGCGTGGGAAATTTCATCTGTGTAAATCGGGATTGGATGAACGCACACACACCAAAAAAAGAGAGGCAACATGGAAGGGCCCTTGACTGAGGTTTCTCCTTCTGAACTACGGATAGTTACCCGAGAAGCCTCTTCTCTCTTCTTCTTCTTTTTATTTTTATGAAGAACGAATAGTAGAAAAAAGATGAATACTCCGTGGACAAAGGGGAAGAGGAAAAGGAGAGCATGGGCATTGATTCATGCGCCCACTTCAACTTTTTGCACAGGTGACCTCGGCTCCTCGGCGGGTGTAGCCAGGTACCTAGACCTGGGGGAGGGAAAGCCTGGGAAGTACGAATACACAGTAGGTGGATAGATCCATCTTGACTGGTAACGAACGGAGAAAAGTGCCCGGGTGATGGAGATATGACGGCAGGAGGGGATCAAGCCCAAACTTTTTGGAGACAAGAACGGCAGAGAGCAGACCGTAGTAGATTTAGTTGCCTGGCTGTTTTTGAGTTACAGTGACAGAACTGGTGGGGAGGGAAGGAAGGCGTTTCGTCTGGCTCTCCGTGTTGTCGGGTGAAGGAGAATCGGTCAGAGACTTCTAGGAGGATGGAGGGGTAAATTTTTGGGTTATGACATCAGCAGACAAACAGAGAATCTGACTGGACTGTTTTCGCTCCAGTGGTTTCTTTCTGTCATTTGACGAAGGGGGGGGAAGAAGAGCGACGAACTCAGTCCCCAGCAAATAAGAAAGAAAAAAAAATGTGTCACGAGTACTTTTAGTTACACCGCCGAGTCAGGCGGCTGGCCCAGTCTAGGGGAACAGAAGTGTGGAGTGTCGTATTCGATCTGTGCAGAGTACGAGGGTGCTTGCTCTGTATTTCCGTGAGGAGAGGTATCTGTAGGCAGGCAATTAAATGGGAGAAGTTGGTGCTGAAGATATTGATATTGATATTGTGTTCCGGTCTGCATGTGAAACCTTTGAGGAAGTACTCAAGTCAGGAACGACTAGGCACGGACAGAGGGAAGAATGGCACCTGACGAAAGCACTCCATAGTTCAATCGTGTTGCCATCAAATTGAACTTGGACTTGCAGCAATGGATTCCTCCAAGTAACCTGGAAGGTACGGATAACTATTAGTAGGTAATTACCTAGGCATGCCACTTGAGTGAAGAAAGGCCTCGGCTGAAGGTACCGGGCCCTTTTTCCTCGTGCCACGGAATGCCAGGCCAACTCATCGTTCTCGCCCAATTCTCTCAATGCCGGCAATGGCGGCCATGTTAGCGTCCATGGTCCCTTTTTCGAACCTGAGCCCGGTGAAATGCGGTCCATGCCAGTGAGATTTGTGAGGTGAGTGCGGCGCGCCGCGGTGGACCGTAGTCCTGAGCAGGAGCTGGGCCGACCAGGGGTTGTTTTTTCCATTGGGGTGGTTTGGCCGTGGCGCTCCTCCCCAAACGGTGAAAGTGGTCCGGGGGTTGTCCTTTGGGGGGTTGAAATCTTTTTTTTCTGGTCATGGTCGTAGGCGGTCTCCCCTTTTGCTGGACAGATGCAATCCAATGTCCACATTCACATGATCCGCGGCAGCCAGCGTTAGGTAAGGCGGGCACAGTAAAGAAGGAAAAAAAAAAAAAAAAAAGGGCAGCCTTGGCCTGCCGTAGCTTGTTGGGCCCGGCGACCAACGAGCAGGGGTTGGCTGCTGGGCTGCTGCTTCCCCCCGCCCCTGTCCGCGCCAGGTCCTGCTCCCCCCGTACCTCACCCTCACACTCCCGTCCAGGTCGCTCCTCAGGATCGCCCGCAAGCGCCGCTCGCCGCCGCCTTTCCTTTTAGCTCCCCGGCCTATGCTGCTGCTACTAAGGTACCTTACTGCTGCAGTAGCTGCCGGTCTACGAATAGTCGTCCATCCCCAAAGGAATCAGCTTCGTCATCTTTGCACCATCCCATCCCATCCTCTCCGAACCGAACTGCTGAGCGTGGGCACATACGGATACATATGTACTGAGGAAAGGCTGCTTGAATTCCTCTCTTCTAAGCCCTTTTCTTGCCCTTCTCCCCTTCGCCTCCGACCCCGCGAAACCCCAAACTCTAATCGTGATTCACTGTTCACTGTACCTATTCTCTTCGACTTAAACAGGCGTCCTTTCTACCTGTGATTCTCTCAGCCCGACCCATCCCTCGCGAGCGAACGAACGAACGAACGAACAACCACTCTTAGCCCCCTTCCACTCCCTAGCTGTGTGCGCGCGCATCTCTTGAACTCAGTCAGCCTCTATCGACTTACGGATACTCACACATCACTGTCGCTCTCTCTTTCGCCCCTCCCATATCCCTTCCCACCCTCGTCCCCTGCATCCCAATAATAACTATCCACGAGCTTCCCCAACAATTACGCTTTCGCCTCCGCACACCTCGCGGCACAGCGAAACCCAGCTACCCGACTACCGGCCTTGACTAGGTTCGAGAGACCACAACATCTCGGCCAAGAAAGTCAAACCACTGTCGTCTCTGTCCCTACGTTCCGGCTCACCTGCTTCAAGATACCCGCCCTCCAACCTGTTGCAAACGGCGACACAACTCCTCAGTCGCCATGCAGTACGTACGGAATCTCAGCGCCTCCGTCTCTTCGACATGGAACTCTATAAACCCGGCAACCCTTAGTGGTGCCATCGATGTCATCGTCATCGAGCGGGAGGACGGCTCTCTCAACTGTTCGCCTTTCCACGTGCGCTTCGGAAAGTTCTCGCTGCTGAGGCCCTACGAGAAGAAAGTCGAATTCAAGGTCAACGGCGTCAAACAACCTTATTCCATGAAGCTCGGCGAGGAGGGGGAGGCCTTCTTCGTCTTCGAAACAAGCGATACTATCCCGAGGGATCTGCAGACTTCGCCTTTAGTCTCCCCAGCGTCAAGTCCTCCCTTGAACCCGGAGAATCCCTCTTCGCCTGGACTCGGGGAGCCAGAACTTCTGGATCTGGATTCGGAGGCTTCAAAGCCTCGACGACCGCCTCCATCTGTCCTGCACGCAGCAACATTCGGACCCGGACCCCATGGTTTGTCCCTCACTTGCCCTACCCTTATTGATCTTCTGTAAGGCAGAAAATGCTAACTGCTATAGGGCTAAACACACCTCTGTCAACGTCCCCTGACCTTTCATCCCACGCACGACTGCGATCGGAAGACTGGGATTCCTCAGCCGCCCAGCGCCCTTACAGCGATGACGTCTTGCGCAAATCAGCTCGTACGAGCGACCGAGTATTCGGCGAAGGCCTGACCGACTTCGCCATGTCCGAGCGATCACAAAGCCCTCCTCCGTTGGCACCCAAAGAAGCGCTGGAACGCGCTCTTATGCTTTCCAAGGAGCTATCGGCCAACAACATTCCTAGCCATGTGACCGAGAGCGGTGACCTCATGCTTGACATGACTGGGTTCAAGAGCAACGAAGAAGATGTGTTCCGCGCCGAGATTCTTGCGCGAAAGATCCTCTCCGAGGAGCTCGAGGGCCCGTACGATATTGGTTCGCTTTTCGGCATGGACGAGCATGGAAACATCTGGATCTACAGCAGTGAAGAGGCCAAAGAGGCTGCGAAGAAGAAGACCATGGAAGCTGGCTACCGCCTCCATTCCGTGATCGCGGCGGATGCTGCGTCCGACCCGGGATACCAGAGCGACGGTAGCGATGTGACTACCACCGTGCCTCCTCCAAACCACCGAAGGACCGAGTCAGACGCCGGTGCATCTGGCCTACACACTCCTCCTACGACACCTCCTCAATCGACGGCTGGAGACCCAAACTTGAATTACGCAAAGACGTTGAGGTTGACTAGTGATCAGCTGAAAGACCTGTGTCTGAAGCCTGGAGAGAATACTATGAGCTTCACCGTCAATAGAGCGACGTGCCAGGCCAACATGTACTTGTGGAGGCATGAGACGCCCGTTGTCATCTCGGACATTGATGGCACGATTACCAAGTCGGACGCTCTGGGCCACGTTCTCAACATGATTGGCCGTGACTGGACGCACGCTGGAGTAGCCAAACTCTACAGTGACATTGTCGCAAACGGATACAACATCATGTACCTGACCAGTCGATCAGTGGGTCAATCCGATACGACTAGGGCGTATCTCGCCGGTATTCAACAGGGAGAATACCGTGTGCCGCGGGGGCCTACCATCTTGTCCCCAGATCGGACCATGGCCGCACTCCGCCGCGAGGTCTACCTCAGGAAACCCGAAGTTTTCAAGATGGCCACTCTTCGGGATATCCGCAATTTGTACGGCCCTGATCGGACACCATTTTTTGCTGGATTTGGAAACCGTCTCACGGACCAGATTTCGTACAGGACGGTGGATGTTCCCAAGAAACGTATCTTTACCATCAACTCCAACGCTGAGGTTTCCCTCGACTTGCTCACGTTGAACAAACTCAAGCTGAGTTACATCAACATCAATGAGGTCGTCGACCACTTCTTCCCTCCCGTTAGCACTCTGGTCAAGGGTGGAGGAGAAGAGTATACGGACTTTTCATATTGGAGAGATACCCCATTGGATTTGGATGAATTCTCTGCGAGCGATACAGATGACGATAATGAGCAAGCTGATCTGGAAGAAGATGTTGACGATGACGAGGAGATTGGTGATGAGATGGGACAGAGCTACATTTCCCGAGACTCGGTCGACGATTACGGCGATGAACGCGAGAGCATCCTTAGTGGAAGCATCGACGGCGACGACCAGCTGGCCGCCTCCATCCTGGAGGATGATGACGCCGATGACGAGGACGCCGAAGAGGAGGAGGACGACGAAGAAGACGAAATGGCTGAGCTCGAAGTGCGGAAGCAACGCGAGCGAACGCCTCAGCCCAGCGGCAAGGAAACCAAGTCTTCCACACCGGCACCAACGATGCTTGTGGAAGACATTGGCGCCGAGTTGATCACTGGGGTAAATCATCTCACCCTTGAAAAAGGCGTGCAGAAATAGTGTGCTAAAAAGGAGGAACAGGCTTCGGTTTACAATCCTAATGTTAAAGCAGGTGCGAAATAATATCTCCGTGTCGATGCGCTTTTCTTGTACAAGACCCGGGAGTTTTCAGAAGATGGCTTGGTGGTTACGAGCATGGTTGACGGGACGGGTTTGGGGGGTTTAGGTTTCCAGGAAGGGAAGTGTTGCGTTTGCATAGCGGGAGGCGTTTGGACTTTGATATCTCACTCGATAGTGATCTTGCAAAAGACGCTACATCACTCAACTCTGCCGTTATTCTGGTTCATGATACTTGTGGGATACTTGTGATTGTTTTGATTTTCATCTCTATTGCAGACTAGCCATGCATCGAATTTTCCCAGCAAACCCAGGTCCTGGGCGGCGGCATTCTCTTGGGCTCGTCTCCGGAGAGGCGGATATGACGCCCAGAGAGCCTCTTGTTCCTCCGCCGGACGTTGAAGGCAAGAAATTATATCATTGCGCGTCTAATCGACCACGAACCAAAATATGTATCCGTGGCGGCCTAGGCTTTAAATCCTGATGCTTTCTCCCTGTACCATAAAAAGCCCTCAAACCATGGTAGTTTTAGTCGCCGTTACTGCCAAGGTCCCTCATTCACCCTGCCATTGAGGCACCTGTCCGTGAAGTACGTACATTGTGGACTCCGAGTCCTCCGATTTCACCGAGTGGCCCGAGTCCTAAGAAGTGCCCTCCATCTCCGCATCCTCGTCCACGTCCTTGCCAAACACGTCCTCCATCGTGCCGCCCTCGACGCCATCGCCGCCGATATCCTCTTCCGCCGTCGCATTCGTCGCCTCGACGCCCTCCATCGCCCCGTCACCGCCCGGTGCAGCAGCAGCACCGTCCTCGTCGTCTTCGTCTTCGTCCTCTTCCATCCCGGCTTCCTCCCACGCTTCCTTGAGACCCCAGCTGACGCCGCTCAGAACAAACCGTTCGCTCGGCAACCTGAGACCCCACTCGTTCTGCGCGACCTTGGGCAGCGCCGTCTTGTTGCGCTCGCGCGCGAGCTCCTGCAGCCAGTCCTTGCTGACGCCGCCGGCGCCGCCGCCCCCGCGGAACTGGTAGCCCAGCCTGGCGGCGATGGCGAGCTTGACGGCGTTGGCCGTGACGGCGGCGTCGCCTGCCGCGCCGGGGATCGAGCCCGCGCCGCCGCCGCCGCCTGATGCTTTACTGCCGGCTTGGGAGGTGTAGGGGTCCGCTGAGAGGTAGATTGCGTCGGAGAGGATGCTCGAGGTGTGGCGGTAGGCGAAGTCGAGAAGGAGGAGGGGCACGCGGGACTCGTACGATGTGACGCCCTGGGAGGTGAGGAGGAGTTCTATCATGCGGGAGTCGCGGGGTCGCGGGGCCGAGGCATTGGGGGCCAGAGGGTTTGATGATTGTTGCTGCTGCTGCTGTTGTTGTTGGCCGCCCTGTTGCGCATTTTGTTGTGATGGCTGTGAGGTTTGTTGGGTGGATGAGGACTGGGTCGGTTGGGTTTGGGATGGGGGTTGAGAGCCTGCTGTTGATGTCGTTGCTGTTGCTTGGGTGTTCGGTGCGGTTTGCGAGGCTGAGGCGCCTGAGGAGGGGGGCACGCCGTTGGTTTGCGGGTCGGCGGATTGTGAAGCCATGATTGCGGTGTTGTGTCGTGTTCGTGGCGGCTATGGTATTATCTCGTTATGAAGTATCAATGGTGGTTTGATGGCGGGATGGCATATCCCCGTTTGGGACACCGTTCGAGGATTAACGATCGTCAACGCGACTAAATAGTAGCTGTCGGTTTTGTGCAGATGGTGCGTGGGGTTGGAAAGTCACCCAGACGAATTGATGTAGCTCGTAAGATCGTTTATAAGGCTCGCGAGGGTTCGAATGGGAAGGCGGGGCCGGAAAGTCGGGGGTATCAAGGTTAGGGGAGGTAGTCGGCTGGTTAGATCGCGGAAAGAGCTACCTGCCTGGCGCGTCGAGCGTGAGGACCTGAGTTGCCCATCTGCACCTCACCTCAGCTCCGAATTCTTGACGGGACTTTTGTTGATCCGTTCCATCGCCAGAATCCCAGCGCACTGACCACAGCTTAATCCCACATGGACCGGGGTGTCTGACGGGCAAATCGGCAGGGCGTGGATTGGATGACCTCCAAAAACTTGCATGGAGGGGCAATTCTGCTGCGTGGTAATTGTTCTGCCCCACCACCACACCCGCCGATGCAGGACATGGCTAGAGTGGTGGTGTCACACTCTGAGGATTTTTTTACTTTTTAGTGGCGGTTCCCTTTCCCTGAATGAATTGAGTCACAGTGGGTTGTCTACCGTATCTCGATAAACAAGTGACATTCCACTTTCCTCAATTGATCCTTTTGGCAACTTCATTTCCTATTGTTGCCTCATTTCTCAACGCAACCCTCCTATTGGGCTCTTTGGACTTCCATGCGAGTGAGAGAGAGATAAGAGAGAGCATACCTACAACCTAGATTACCCCTCCCCCTCATACGTTACACATCCATATCCAACAACATACACACAATAAGAACGGCCATGGAAACAACACTACCCTTCCCTTTCCTTATCAGTGTGGCCGTTCCGCCCGGCCTGGCCAAGCTGGATGGCCTCGACCGCGAGCAAGTCTCGATCCTCGGAGCCCCCTTCTTCGAGGCCAACGACCAGACCCTGGACAAGTTTCACAGCTTTCTGAAGCAGCACAACGCAGAATTCCGCGGCTACTTTGACGTCACGGGTATCACAGCAAAGGACGATGTAGTCTCCCTGCTCGATGCCGGCGCCCGCATGGTCTTCGTCTCTCCCGAGAACCTCGCTCAGTACGAGGAGTTCGGATCCCGTGTGGGCTCCATTCTCACCACCGACGATATCACGACGAAGCCCGCCTCCAAGCACGCCGTTCTCGTCAAAGACTTTGATCCTACCCTCTGTAACCTGGGCTCCTTCATCGAGCACTGCAAGGTGGAGAAGCTCCCGAACCTGTTCATCAAGCCCGTGCCCGAGAGCAACCTCGAGCACTTTGTCGATATCGCCAAGCAATGCAACGCCATCCCGGTTCTGCCGTCTGACGGCCTGACGGCCAGCAAGGAAGAGCCCAAGAAGCTTTCCCTTTCCAAGCTCATTGCTTCATTCTGGAAGTCGGACCGGCCGGATGGCCTGATCCCCACCGTCGTGTGCGACGAGTCTGGCACCGCGATGGGCCTCGCCTACAGCAGTGCAGAGAGCGTCGGAGAGGCCCTGCGGACCAGGGCTGGCGTCTACCAGAGCCGCAAGCGTGGTCTCTGGGTGAAGGGTGCCACGTCCGGTGACACCCAGGAGCTCATCCGCATCGCCCTGGACTGCGATAATGACACGTTAAAGTTCGTCGTCAAGCAGACTGGCGGTTTCTGCCACCTGGATCAGCACGGCTGCTTCGGTGATCTGAACGGTATCCCTAGACTCGAACAGACGTTGCAGTCTCGCAAGAAGTCCGCGCCCGCGGGCTCTTACACTGCTCGCTTGTTCTCTGACGAGAAGCTTCTGCGAGCCAAGATTATGGAGGAGGCCGAGGAGCTCTGTGACGCAAAGACTCCCCAAGAGGTTGCCTTTGAGGCTGCCGACTTGATTTACTTTGCTCTCACAAAGGCTGTCAGCGCCGGCGTTAGCCTCGCTGACATTGAGAGAAATTTGGATGCCAAGGCATTCAAGGTCAAGAGGAGGACGGGAGATGCCAAGGGCAAGTGGGCTGAGAAGGAGGGCATCAAGACTACCACAGCACCCGCCCCTGCAGCGGCGCCGGCACCGGCACCGACAGCAAAGGCTGAGAAGTCTGAGAGAATATCGATGCGCCGCTTCGACCTGTCCAGCTCTTCCGCCGCTGAGATTGACGAGGTGCTGAAGCGCCCCTCACAGAAGTCACCCGACGCCATCCTGAACATCGTCAGGCCCATCATTGACGAGGTTCGCAACGGAGGCGACAAGGCTGTTCTGTCCTACACCCACAAGTTCGAGAAGGCGACATCACTCACCTCCCCTGTGCTTAAGGCTCCCTTCCCCAAGGAGGCCATGCAGCTCTCTCCCGAATCAACCAAGGCCATTGACATTTCCTTTGAGAACATTCGCAAGTTCCATGCCGCTCAGAAGGAGGACAAGCCCCTAAAGGTCGAGACCATGCCCGGCGTGGTTTGCAGCCGCTTCTCTCGTCCCATCGAGAGGGTTGGTCTCTACGTCCCTGGTGGTACTGCCGTTCTCCCTTCTACTGCTCTCATGCTCGGTGTCCCCGCCATGGTCGCCGGCTGCCAAAAGATCGTCTTCGCCTCGCCTCCCCGCGCCGACGGTAGCCTAACCCCTGAAATTGTCTACGTCGCTCACAAGGTGGGCGCCGAGAGCATCGTCCTCGCTGGAGGCGCCCAGGCCGTCGCCGCCATGGCGTACGGCACCGAGAGCGTGACAAAGGTCGATAAGATCCTCGGACCCGGAAACCAGTTTGTCACAGCGGCCAAGATGTACGTCAGCAACGACACCAACGCCGGTGTCAGCATCGACATGCCGGCCGGCCCCTCCGAGGTTCTCGTCATCGCTGACAAGGACTCTAACCCCGCCTTTGTCGCGTCCGATCTGCTGTCACAGGCCGAGCACGGCGTTGACAGTCAAGTCATTCTCATTGCCATTGACCTGAACGAGCAGCAGCTCCAGGCCATCGAGGATGAGCTGCACAACCAGGCCATGGCCCTGCCTCGTGTCGACATTGTTCGCGGCGCCATTGCCCACTCGGTCACCATCCAGGTCAAGACCGTGGACGAGGCCATGCGCATCAGTAACGACTACGCGCCCGAGCACTTGATTCTCCAAATCAATGATGCCGAAAAGGTGACGGAGAAGGTCATGAACGCCGGCTCCGTCTTCATCGGCGAGTGGACCCCCGAGAGTGTCGGCGACTACTCTGCTGGCGTCAACCACTCTCTGCGTAAGTCCTACCCACATCAACGATGAAAGATATTCCATGACTGACCGATGATTCCAGCGACCTAC